ATAGCATGATTAAGGTAAGAAGCAGTGAAGGAGTCTGAGAGGTCTGTACCTGGATTAACTAAGCTCGCTGAGAATTCCAAGAAAAAGGAAAAAAACCCAGAGTGCAGCTTCGGGAGGATTGATTGGAGGAAAATGAGCTTCCTCCTCTTTTTACTGTGCTGTCTCCAGACTGGCAGTGGAGGGAGATATTCCCCACTTCCGGAGCCAAGAGAAATCTAGCTGGCCTCTGATGGCTCAAGTGGGATGATCAGATAAGGGCAGATTGTGCGCTTGGCTGCACAGGAAGCCTGTTAACAGCACTCCTGCCAGGGACCCCCACCCAGAGAGACATTAGTTGGTCATGATTGTAGAAGCATTCAAGCAGTTCTAATGCAGAGCTAAAGCTGATAATTATGGCTGTGTCAGGGCCTGACATATTCACAGGGGCCCGAGATGCATTTGTCATAGCTTTATAATCCCTCTAGATCTGCCTGGGTTTATGAAGATACAGCTCTTCTGTACAAGCCTAGTGATCAGATACACCAGCTGCTGGTCAGGATCTACATTTGAACACATTCTCCAGGTACCCCCACAACCAGGTGGGTCTGGCAAATATGGGATGGTAAGGTAGATGGGCCTTGTTTTTAGACTCCTGGGTCTTTTTGAGCAGTGCCTCCTCATTCTTGCTTGTGTTTGTTTGGTTTGGGGTTTTGGGGCTTTTGGGTTGTTTTGGTTTTTTGAGAGGGTTTTACTATATAGTTCAGGCTGGCCTTGAACTCGCTATGTAGCCCAGACTGGCCTCAAACTCATGGCACTCCTCCTGCCTCAGCCTCCAGAGTGTTGGGTTTACAGGCATGTGCTGCCACACCCAGCATACTTGCTTTTATTTTAAAAGTGCTTTTCTGCATGGTGTTCAGAAGATGCAACTTCTGGCAGGTGAGGGTGGCCAAGGCTTAGAGAGCTTGTTTCGTCCCTGAAGCACAGGTGTTTTTTGTGATACTGGGGATTGTGTTTTAGTATCTCGGCCCAGGGATTTAGCTTAGTGGTTCCACTGCCTGCCTCGAAAGCACAAGGACTAGAGTTCCATCTCCGGTACCAAAAAAAAAAAAAGAACTAAGAGTTTTAGTGTCTGGTTTCTCAGGCTGGGGATTTAGCTCAGTGGTTCTGTCACCTGCCTTGCAAGCACAAAGTCCTGAGTTTGATCCACAGTACCAAAAAAAAAAGTATCTGATTTCTCATTCAGTTTTCTTTCTTTTGACAACAAAGTTTATTCTTTAAATATTTCAAACATCCCTTCCTCAGGGATATGGTGGCCACATTTGTTGAGTGAATACCTCTGCTGTCCAAAGCATTGGCATGGCACACCATGGGCCCAGTTGGCCCACTGCGGCCCCATTGCTGGCTTTTCCCCCAGTTACCTTTTCCAGACATCCCTGGCCACACCTTCCCATGCCCATTTCAATTGTTTGGACTTAATAAGGTCCTTGGGCATGACTCAATGTTTGATTTTCCTTGTGTCCAACTCATTACTTTTATAGGCACACCTTTCCTGACCTCTGCGATGTTAAAACTCATGCCTCAGCACTAAGGAGGATGGCTTTTTCAATTGTGGTTAAAACTTACATAACATAAAATTTTCCATTAGTGACATTTAGTGTACATTCACAGTAGTTTGAAACCAGCACATTTTCATCATCCCAAAAGGAAACCCCAAACCTATTAGTGGTTCCCTTATCTCCTAGCTCCTGGCAGTCACTAATCTACTTTGTGCCCTTATGGATCTGCCTGACTGTATATTTTTATAAATGAAATGAAGTCATGCCACTAGTGACATTTTGTGTCTGGATTATTTTATCTAGTGTGATGTTTTCAAGGTTCACCATCTATGTCGGAACTTCATTTTTTTTTTTTTTCCTTTAGTACTGAGGATTGAAGTCAGGCAACACTAAACTACATCCCCAGCTCTTTATTTATTTATTTATTTTATTTTGAGACAGAGGTCTCACTAAGCTACAGCTAGCCTTGAATTTGTGATCCTTTTGTCTCAGCCCCTTGAGTGTTGGGATTAGAGGAATATACCACCATTCCCAGCATCATTTTTTTTTTTTGGTACTAGGGATCGAACTCAGGTCCTTGTGCTTTCGAGGCAGGGACCAGAACCACTGAACTAAATCCCCAGCCCAAATATCATTCTCTTTTTGTTTTTTGTACCGGGGATCGAACTCGGGACCTTACTCTTTCAAGGCCGGCGCCAGAACCACTGAGCTAAATCCCCGGCCCTCATTTTTATTTTTTAAATTACAGCCATGCTGGTGGATATGAGCACAGTTTTTTTTAATTAATGATTTTTATTAATTAAAGAAAAACACACAAAAAAGAAAAACAGTTACAATTAAAAAGTGAAAAATTCAAAACAAAAAAGAGGGCGGCATGGTGGCACATGCCTGTAATCCCAGCACTTGGGAGACTGAGACAGGAGGATCATTATGAGTTTGAAGCCAGCCTGAGCTACATAGTGAGTCCCAGTCTCAAAAGAAAAAAAGAACAGTCTCTTGTCTAGTTCCATCTTCCTGACTCATGCCCACAGGGAGCTGGTACAGCAGCAGCCGTGACCTGGTGGCCACCTCCATTTGCCCTCTGCCTTACCCTCTTCCACCCTTGAGTCATGGGCTGCTGACTTTCTTTTTTGGGTAAATAAAGGTTATAACTCACTCAGATTCACATGATCCCTGCTGTCCTCTTCACGTAATTTGTGTTAGGACAGCAATCTGGCTGTTTAAAAGGACCAAAATAATAAATGCCACCAGGGATTTAGCTCAGTGGTTTTGGTGCTTGCCTTGCAAGTGCAAGGTCCCGAGTTTGATCCCCAGTACCAAAAATAATAATTAAAATAATAATAATCATAATAATAATCATAATAATAATACTAAATGCCTTGCCTTATGCATGCTGGAAGTCTGTTTCTGTCTCACCTAATACAGCAGAAACAACTCAGGACTGGAGTGGTGGTTTGGAGATATCAGGAAGCCATGCTCTTTTCTGAGCTGTCCATTTTGGTTTCTGAGGTGGCCGCTGCAGGTTTCCCACCACTTCCACGCATGATCCAATGGCAGAAGGGGGCTTGGCAAGGAGAGACCATGCTCTTCCCTCCACAGCAGGACTCCGAGTTGTGGCACACCTGTGTGCATTCCAAATGGCTACCCACTGCCCTGCACGTAACTTGTGTTGAACATTCTTTATCTTACTTATAATGAGTTAGTGTTCCAGTGTATACTGTGTGCCAGATACTATTGTAAGTTCTTTTTTTTTCTGATACGGGGGATTGAACTCAGGTCCTTGTCTTTGCGGGGCAGGCTGCGAAACCTCTGAGCTAAATCCCCAGCCCTATTGTAAGTTCTTTATATGCATAATTTAACCCTTAAAATAGTCTTCTGAAGTAGGTGTTGTGTTCCTTGTACAGATAAGGAAGGGCCAGGGATTTAGCTCAGTGGTTCTGCCACCTGCCTCCCAATAGCAGGGACTCGAGTTTGATACCGGTACCAAAAAAAAAAAAAAAAGGTATGGATACAGATAAGGAAAAAAAAAAGTAAAAAAAGGGCTGGGGATTTAGCTCAATGGTTTCACCGCTGCTGCTCAAGTGCAAGGACCTGAGTTCGATCCCCAGTACCAAAAAAAAAAAAAAAAAAGATGTACAGATAAGGAAACAGTCACAGTCAGATCACTATCCTAGGTCACTTTAGGAGCAAGGCTATGACTCCAGAGCCTATTTAGATTCTTTGAACCTGGACAGTGGCACACACCTATAATCCCAGCACTCAAAAAAAAAAAAAATCCCAGCACTCAAGGGGCTGAGGCAGGAGGATTGCCAAGAGTTCAAGGCCAGCCTAAATTACAGAGTGAGACCTTGTCTCAAAAAAAAAAGGGGAAGAGCCAAGGATTTAGCTCAGTGGTTCTGCCTCCTGCCTCAAAAGCACAAGGTCCTGAGTTCGATCTCTGGTACAAAAGAAAAAGATTCTTTGAAACAGGCCTATGATTACAATACTCTGAGAGGTTGAGGCAGGAGAATTACAAGTTGGAGCCCACCCTGAGCAGTTTAGTGATTTAGCAAGACCTTGTCTCAAAATTTAAAAAAAATAAAAAGCCTGGGGATGCAACTCAGTGTAAGGGCTCTGGGTTCAATTCCCTGTTGGGGGGTGGATGGAGGATTCTTTGAGCCAACCATGGTGGTGCATGATTGTAATCCCAGCACTCAGAAGGCTAAGACACGAGGATTGATTGAGAGCTCAAGACCAGCTTGGGGTACATAGCAAGTTTGAGGCCAGCCTGGATTTCATAGTGAGACTTGTCTTCAAAACAAAAAAATAGTTGGGCGAGGGATTTGGCTCAGTGGTTCTGCCACCTGCCTCGCAAGCTGAAGGTCCTGAGTTCCATCCCCGGTACCAAAAAAAAAAAAAAAAGTTTCTAGAACTTGGAGACTGTGGCATTCTAAGGAGTCCACGTGTGAGAATGTTGGTTTCACCAAATTCTCACCTGGGTCCTTTTGCATCTGTGTGAGAGGCTGATCATGTAGGTGAGGCTTGGTTAATGTTTAATGTGAGGGGCAGGGATTTAGCTCAGTGGTTCCGGCACCTGCCTCGAAAGTGCAAGATCCCAAGTTTGATCCCTGGTACCAAAAAAAAAAAAAAAATGTTTAATGTGCGGTCTTTGTTAGGATCATCTCCATCCACAGCAGGCCCTGGTGAACTTGCTGCCCGCTGGTTCTATGCAGCCAACTCTACAGCTTTCTACATGAGCAGCGCTCTACATGAGAGACCTTCTTAAGTAGATTCTCTAAAGACTAACACCCAAAACATTTATGTAGCTTTTATTTCTTGGGCTGATGGCCAACAGTGACAGCTGCAACCAGGCTCCTAAAAGAATCTGAAAAGGAGAAGTGCCCCCCCACCCCAACACACACACATAGCTTTTTGCTGTGGGACTACCGGCCTTAACCTTAACTACCTCTTGTTTTATCTGGGCAGTCACCAGGAGTTAAACTTTGGGATGTGCCCAGGATGATGGACAACAAGGACGTAGAAGCTGAAATCCACCCCTTGAAGAATGAAGACAGAAAATCACAGGAAAGTTTTGGGAACAGGTTGAAAAATGAAGATAACTTAAAAAGCATGCCTGCCCAATCCCGGCTCTCCCGATGCCGAACAGTGGCATTTTTTCTTTCATTGTTTATCTGCCTTTTTGTGGTGTTTGTGGTCTCCTTCATCATCCCATGTCCAGACCGACCAGTGTCACAGAGGATGTGGAAGATCGATTACAACGCAGCAGGTGAGCCTTTGGGCCCCTCCTCCCACAGAGGTGCCAGACCCTTCTCTGGGGAGCAGGATTGCTTGTCTGCAAGTCCACCCTGAGTGGCCACTGGCTCTTCAGGGAGCTACCAAACAGTCTGTGAATAAAGCTGTGCCATGATTGGGGAAACAAGCACCATGTGGTTAATACTTGGTTACTTTTCTTACTAAAGAAAATTCATTAAAATAGAGAATCCTTGTCATAAAAATGTGAAAACTATGCAGCAGGTGGGATTATTCTGTCTTCCTGAGCTGCTGCAGGTAAGCTAAAGGTAAAGTACACTCATTTCTGTATCATACAGTGGGCTCAGGACCAAGGATTTAGTTCAGTGGTGCCGCTGCCTGCCTCGAAAGAGCAAGGTCCCGAGTTCGATCCCCGCTACCAAAAAAAAAATTAAGTGGCCTTAATGAAAAGCAGCTGAGTTAGCTTCTATCTGAGCACTCTTCTGGGAGAGCAGCACCTACAGGCACAGCCAAGGGTGAGACAGCTGATGGCCTCAGAGTACAGCGTGCTGAGCTTAATTTGTTTTATGATTTGGGGGAAGATGGCTGTGTTTGTGTGGAGGAAATGGCCATGGTCATGTTTGTCACTCGATACAGAGTTTCTGAATGGAAGCAAAATTTTGCCAAATACTTTTATTTGCAAACCAAATTATTTGCAAACAGAAGCATTTGTGAACTGAGGTATTACTATATTTCCTTGCACAGGCTTGACTTTTTTGATGCAACAGAGAATGTCTTATTGAAGCTTCACTTAGGGTCAGTTCTGTTGAGAATTTAGTGGTTAATTTTTTTTTTTTTTTTGGTACCGGGGATCGAACTCTGGACCTTGCGCTTGCGAGGCAGGCAGTGGAACCACTGAGCTAAATCCCCTAGTGGTTAATCTTTTTTTTTTTTCCTAGTGTTTAATCTTAATGAAAGGAATGAATGTGTTCCTCTATTTTTTGCAGCTTTATTGTAATTTTTTCTCTTTTTTTTTTTTTTGAGGCAGGGTTTCACTATGTAGTGCAAGCTAGCCTTGAACTCACTATGTAGCCAAGGCTGATCTTGGACTCCCAGAAATCCTCCTGTCTCAGCCTCATGAGTGCTGGGATTACAGTTGTGCACCACCATGCCTGGCTGTATTGTAATTTAAATGCCATCAAATTAACTTTTTCTCCCAGTAGGTGAATCATTTATTTTTTCTCTAGTTATATAATAGCAATGATGAGATTATGACTCTGCCACTTGTATCTTTTCTGGAGAAGTTTGACTAATGGAGTATAGACACCAAAAGCTGAAAGGCTGTATTCTTGACAGTATCGGCTTCTGACCAGTACATATATTCTGGTTATTTGTTTTTTCGGTACTGGGAATCGAACTCAGGACCTTGCACTTGCCAGGCAGGTGCAGCACCACTGAGCTACATCCCCAGCCCTATTCTGTTTTTGTTTTTGTTTTTTTTGGTACCGGGGATCGAACTTGGGTCCTTGCACTTGTGCAGCAGGCAGCAAAGCCACTGAGCTAAATCCCCTGCCCTCCAGCCCTATTCTGGATAGTCCATTCTCCCAGTCATAAATCAAGAAATCATTTCCCTCACATCATGAGGATTAGTAGAGGACAAAGGAAGACTAAGGAGGTAGATGCATTTGGCTTTCTTGAAAACAAAAGAAGCATGGTAGCGCGTGCCTATGATCCCAGCACTCTGGGAAAGAGAGGCAGGAAGAGTACAAGTTCAAGCCCAGTTTGGGCAACTTAGTGACTTAGTGAGACCCTGTCTCAAAATTTAAAAAGGAAAAAAAAAGGGCAAGGGATGTAGCTCAGTGTGAAGGCCCTGGCTTCAGTCTGCAGTACAGGAAGAAAAAGAGGTGGGGGGGGGGAGGAAGGAAGGATATGAAAGTATTACTTTTTTGTTCTTCCATAGAAAATATTTGCTTAGATGAAAGCAGGATGTCAACAATACTTTCATTGTTCAGAAGAAAATTTGAAAAAAGAAGAAAATAGCAAGTTTTTTTAGGTTTTGTTTTTGTTTTTGAGACAAGGTTTATTTATACCATCCAGCCTGGCCTCAAACTTGTGATTTTCCTCCATCAGCCTCATGAGTTTTTGGATTACAGGCATGTGCCACCATCCCCAGCTTATTTGACAAATAGTTCTGGACTTTTACTTTTTTGGTACCAGGGATCGAACTCAGGACCTTGCACTTTCGAGGCAGGTGACAGAACTAGTGAGCTAAATCCCCAGCCCAGTTCCAGACTTTTTCACACAGAAAATATCTAGGCAAATCAGCAGTTTAAATGAAATCACTCATGCTAATTTATGAAGCCAGTCAGCATACGTCCACATCAGTGATAACATTGTTATCTTCATCCTTGTGTTAAATTATTAAAAATTAGAATACCAGGGGTGGGAATTTAGCTCAGTGGTTCCGCTGCCTGCCTCGAAAGCATGAGGTCCCAAGTTCAATCCCTGGTACCAAAAAAAAAAAAAAATTGGCTAGTGGGAAAGATTTTTAAGACTTTTGTTGTTATTGTTGAATAATTAAGTAGAAATTGTCATTTGTATAACAACAAACTTCCTTTCCATACCTAAAGCAGTTGTCTAAACCTATGGTGAAGCAGGAATGCAGGAATGCATAACATTTTTTATTGGTGCATATTAGTAATACAGAATAAGATTCAGTTTGTTATATTAAATGCATAAAAATATGGAACAAGTTCGATCCCTGGTACCAAAAAGAAAAAAAAGAAAAGAAAAATATGGAACAAGAGCCAGACAAGGTGGCACACACCTGTAACCCCAGCACTCAGGAGGCTGATCCAGGAGGATTGCTGTGAGTTCAGGCCAGCCTGGCTACATACTGAGTTCACGGTCAGCCTGAACTACACAGGGAGATTCTGTCTCAAACAAAACAAACAAACAAATAAAATACAGAACACTTCAGGAATTTACAGTGCTGTATAACTATCACCACTGTTTCTAGAACTTTATCGTCTCAGATAGAAACTGTCCCCAGTAAATAAGAACTCTCCATCTCTTTCCTCTTTCGTTTTTCCAGGTTTCCTGGAAACCTCGAATTTACTTCGTGTGTCTATGGATTTTCCTACTCTAGGGTACCTTATATAAGTGGAATCATACAATATTTGTCATTCGGTGTCTGGCTAGTTTCATTTAACATAATGTCCTAAGGCATAATCTATGCCATAACATGTTCCAGAGCTTTGTTCCCTTGCATAGCTGGCTGAATCATATTCCTCTGTATGGCTATGCAGTCTTCTTCAATATCCAAGGGGTACTTACTAGTGCCAGGACCTCTACCCCAAAAGGTACCACAATCTGAGAGTGTTCACATCCCTTGTATAAAGTTGTATAGTATTTACATATAATCCATGCACATCATTCTGTATACTCTGTTTACTTACTTATTTTGAGATAGTGTCTGTGTTGCGCAGTCTACCCTCAAATCCCTGAGCTCAAGTGAGCCCTCCTGCCTCATCAGGTTTCTGAATAGGTGGCTCTATAGGTACATACCACTAAGCCCAGCATCCTTTATGCTGTAAACCATCTCAGACTACTTATGATATCTAATACAATGTAACCGCTTAAATAGTTGCTATTTATCGTTCAAGGAATAATGACAAGGCAAGAAAATCTGTATATGTCTAGGGCAGACACCTTTTTTTTTTTTTTTTTTCGATATCAGGGATTGAACTCAGGACCTTGTGCTTGGGAGGCAAGTGCAGCACCACTAAGCTAAATCCCCGGCTCCTAGACACTTTTTTTTTTTTGGTACTGGGGATCCAACTCAGGACCTTGTGCTCGCGAGACAGGCGGCAGCACCACTGAGCTAAATCCCAAGCCCTGGGGATATATTTTTTATTCTGAATTTTTTCTGATCTGAAGTTTGTCACATCTGTGGATGTGGAATCTGTAAACACAGAGGGCTGACCATACATCACTCATCTGTTGATGGGCAAGGTTGCTTCCAGCTTTTGGTTATAGTGAATAATGCTGCTGTGAACATAGGTATACAGGTAGCTCTTTGAACTACTGCTTTTGATTCTTGTAGGTATAGTAATACTTCTAGGTCACATGCTAACTCTATTTTTAACTTTTTTGAGAAACTGCTAGACTTTTTTCACAGTAGTTGTACCATTTTACATTCCCACCAGCAATGCATGAGGTTCCAGCCAATACTTGTTTTGTGTTTCTGTTTTTGTCTAATAACCATTCTAGTGTGTCTGAAGTGACATCTCTTTGTGTTTGTTTTTTTTTTGCTTAAATTCTTTTATTGGTACATTTTAGGTATACAATATGTTTACATTTATCATTGGGTGCTTGTTCCTGTACATGATGTATCTTGGTTCTTATTTTTTCCCCATTCCCTATGCTCCCTCCACCCCCTCCACCCTTCCCTATTTACAAAGACTTTGTTTCCATTTTTCCTTTTTTCATAATTTTTTCTTTCCCTTCTTTCCTTTCCCCTGCCCCTCCCACTTCCCCTATCCCTTTGGACCTTTTCTTCCTATTTCAGATTATCAATTATTCATTTTAATCATTTTAATCCTTATTTACACTTTCAGTTTCTCACACTAGAGAAACTATTCAGTATTTACACATGTGTATCCTCTATTTCACTTAAGAGTATGGACTCGATATGCATCCATTTAGCTCTAAATGTCTCTAGTTTCTTGTTCTTTATGGCTGAGTAGTACTCCATTTTATTAAAAAACTCATATCTTCTTTATCCAGTTTCCAGTTGATGGGCACTTGGGCTGTTCATCTCTTTGTGGTTTTGTTTTGTTTTGTTTTTTAGTACTGGGGATCGAACTCAGGTCCTTCTGCTTCCGCAGCAGGCGGCAAAACCACTGAGCTAAATCCCTGGCCCTTCTTTGTGGTTTTGATTTGATTCCTCTAATGACTAGTGATGTGGAGAATCTTTCCGTGTATTTATCAGTCATTTGTACATCTTTTTAGGAGAAATATACATTAAATTTTGCCCATTTTTCAACTGGGTTGTTTGTTTGATCATTGGGTCATAGGAGTCATTATATATTTTGGATACTGGTATGGTATGTATGATTTGCATATGTTTTGGCTTCGCTCTCTTTCTTTTGTTGTTATTGTTTGTTTTTGTTTTTGTTTTTTTTGGTACTGGGGATAGAACTCAGGTCCTTGCGCTTGTGCAGCAGGTGGTGAAACCACTGAGCTAAATTCCCAGCCCTATTTGTTTGTTTTAAGGCGGGGTCTCACTGGCTTTGAGCTTGCTATGTGGCCTAAGCTGGTCTCGAACTTATGGCAGTCCCCTGCCTCAGCCTCCCAAGTGCTGGAATTACATGCGTGCACCACTACAGCTGGGCTTTCACTCTCTTCATGGTGTCTTTGAGGCCTAAAAGTTTGTTTGTTTTTTCTTTGATACTGGGGATCAAACTCAGGACCTTGCACTTGCCAGGCAGGCGAGGCGCCGCTGAGCTACATCCCCCAAACTTTTTTTTTTGGTACAGGGGATCGAACTTAGGTCCTTGCGGTTGCGAGGAAGGCAGTGGAACCACTGAGCTAAATCTCCAAAAGTTTTTAATTTTGGTGAAATCCAATTTATTTTTTCTTTTGTTGCCTGTGCTTTGGGTGTCGTATCAAAGAAATTATTAACAATTCTGATACCATGAAGATTTTATTTTAAAGCACAGAGTTTATCGTTTGAGTCTTTGAATGAAAGAAAGCATTTAGCCCCTAATGAGGACAGAGTGTGGCTGTCTAGAACCCACATTGGTCTAGAAGGATTCCTTCCCAAACAGAAGGTCTTCAGAGCAGCCATTTGTAATACCTGACGTCTTGATGTTTCTCCTGAAGGGTAACATCTGATAATATCTTTCCAGCCTGGCATATTCATGAAGAATTGTTGCACTTCTGAAGAAGTGTGAGGAAATTTCTTGACCTAGTGAAAAGTTTCTGCTCTTGTTGCAGGGAGTTCACAGTGGCAGGTTCTAATGACATCAAACTCCATGGGGCAGACAAGTATAGTGTGTTGGACTTGACCTGCTTGTAGACAGGCATGGCCCATGGAACATAATCTGTGGGTTTCTTTTTCAGTCACCTATGACTTTCTGGCCATGGAAGACATAAACAGGGACAAGATCCAAGATGTTGTCTTTCTTTATAAAAATACCAACAGCAGTAACAATTCCAACCTATCCTGCGCTGATGAAGGTATTTCTTATTTTATCTGAAAAAAGAGGGACTCGCTATAGGGAGAGGGATCTTTGTTTTGGGTCACTCTCTCTTTTTTTATGGTGTTTGAGGGAAGTGAACAGTGGGAATTCTGGAATCTTTGTCCTGAATTACTCCCTTGTATTTATGGTATCTAGAGGAAGCAAATGGTGGGAGTTCTGGAAACCATCCCATCATTCCTCCTTCTTAGGAGGACTAGGAAGAGGCAAAGAGACAGGCTTAGCTCCCTTACCCTGCTTGGAGGCAACACTAGAGTCCCATGAGTCTGAGGGATAAGGTGCCAGGGATAAAGGAAATGGGCCCATGCCAAGCATGGTGGCACATACCTGTAATCTCAGCACTTGGAAGGCTGAGGTAGGAGGATCACCATGAGTTCAAGACCAGCTTGAACTACATCCTGAGACCCTGTCTCAAAAACCACACACACGAAAAAGGAAATGGTCCCAGGTGCAGGGGCAAGATGTGAATGAGGGCAGAGGCAGGTAGGAAAGAGCAGGTGGTCTAACAGATGGCTGTGTGTCTCCCCTCCAGGCTTCTCCTCTCCCTGTGCCTTTGTGGCTGCTGTGTCAGGGGCCAATGGCAGCGTGCTCTGGGAGAGGCCAGTGGTCCAAGACGTGGCATTTGTGGAATGCACCACACCCCAGCCTTCGGACCATAAGGTGTCCTCTGCCTGCATCCTTGTGGGAAGACCCGGCTCCTTCCTTGCCGTGGACCTGTTCACAGGTGAGGGGCACTCACTGTGGAGGGGTCAGCCCTGAGTGCTGCCTCATAGGTGGCTGACTGGGTATCGACCTCCAGGGGAGGTGTGACCACTTGAAAGTCACGTGCCCCAGCTCCCTCAGCTGCTCTGGCACATTCCATCCGTGCCTTATCACCTCAGGTTTGTATCTTGCTGTGGGTAAATGCAGTCAGAGGTCACCTGCCATGAGGTAGCAAGCTAAGGAGGAGGGGTGCAGAGTGGCTGCTTGGAGGAATGTTTAGGCCTCTGGGTACTCAGACACTCTCAGGAACAAGTCTCTGAGCCTTAGGGTGGCAGCACACGTGAGCATCAGGGGAGGAAAGCGTGGGAGGTGACTTGGAGATGGGCCTTGACACCTTACCAAGGCCATAAGGACTTCTTTGCCTAGAACTTGATGGATATTGGCATTTTCCTTGCAAGGTGTAATTTTAAGACTTTAAGGAAAATAAAGAACAGGCTGGAAATATTTTAAGAATTGAGCAGTTGGCCTGGGGATTTAGCTTAGTGGTGCCACGGCCTGCCTTGTAAGCACAAGGTCCTAAGTTCGATCCCCGGAACCAAAAAAAAAGAATTGAGCACTTGATCCAGAAGCAGATATGGATGGGTTAGTGTCCTGTCAGTATGCTATGCTCAGTAGGCCCAACTCCGGGTTTGACTGCCTGGTGCTGAACTATATTCCTGTGACCCAGCAGAGGCAGGGTCCCCAAGGCCCTGGAGTACTGCAGTGAGTGCTGAAGGTTGGGTCCTGTCCTCTGAGTTGGGAAGGGTCTTTTGGGTGTTCTGGAGCAGCCCATCCTCAGTGCCTCAGGGCAGGAAATCTAAACATGAAGTGAGGAAGGGAGGGCCTCGGGCCCCAGGAATGACCCTCCTGGTTTTTGTCACGTAGGTGCCAGTCATTCCTCTCATGGGCCTGTGTCTGTGTTCAGCAGCAGTGTGTCTGTCCTTCAATGAGGACTGGCAGGCTGCCTGCACACATTTCTGTTTCTGAGAATGCAATGGGCCTGGAATCCTGAGGATGGACACAGCCACATGAGTTGCTGTGAAGGGGGTTTGGAGCGGTGTGTAGTGACGGTGTGCTTGGTTTTAGGGGAAACTCTGTGGAGCCACCCCAGCAGCTTTGGTGGGAACACATCTATCCTGACCCCTCTGCTGCAAGTACCTGACATCGACAGTGATGGTGCCCCAGACCTGCTGATCCTCACCCAAGAGGGAAAGGAGGTGCAGACCAGCGCAGCTCTCCTCCCATGTCACCCAGGCCACTCGCCACTAGCCTCTCCCTTGCCTCCTTGTTCACTTCCACTTCCCAGAGAGAATTTAGGTCTGAGGCCCACAGATGCAGTGTGCTAAGGTGGCCCCATCTCTGTAGGAGCTTGTGTGCCTTCCCCAAGAACCACGTAGTGCCCTTCCCACTTGTTCTGCTGCTGTGTCGGGGTGAGGCTGCAGGCCCAGGGCTCCCTTGCACCTCCAGGCAGGTGTGCCATGCAGAGGCCCAGACCCTACCTCACAGCAGTCTTCCCAAAACAAGAGAACTTTGGCTTTGCCCTGAAAGGCCCTCCTTCCTGTGGGCCCAGCTGTCCTTCTTCCCTTCTGCTCTTCCTCATTATAGGTCAGTGTGTACATCTATTCAGGCAGCACTGGGGACCAGATTGGCCACAGAAGCAGCCTCGGTGTGGATGGAGTCAGCGGCCCTCTCCTCCACGTCACCAGGACGGGTGCACACTACATCCTCCTGCCCTGTGGTATGCTGTCCCACCACCTTCCCAAGGTGGGGTTCCCTCTCATAGTGGCACTGGATTAAAAACGTAAGCTCAAGCCAGGTCCCAGCACTCTGGGAGGCTGAGTCTGGAGGATTCCAAGTTCAAGCCCAGCCTGGGCAATTTAGCGAGATTCTATCTCAAAATAAAAAAGGGCTGTGGCTGTATGTATGAAGGCCCTGAGTTTAATCCCAGTACCAGCCAAAAAAAAAAAAAAAAAAAGGTGAGCTCAGCACCTATGGAAAAAGCAATGTGTGCAGCAATCACCTATAAGGTTCCTCAGCTCCTGCTCGTATTTTAGACGTACCAGTTAGTCACTGACAGTCAGCGCCCAAGCTCCTGCACTGGGGGTGGCATCATGTGCTATTGAAAGTGGGGCTGGTTGGGGCCGGAGATTTCACTCAGTGGTTCCACCACCTGCCTCGCAAGTACAAGGACCTGAGTTTGATCCCTGGTACCAAGAAAAAGAAAGGGGCTGGTAGATGCATATGGACCCAGGGCACAGTGTGACTCTGGTGACTTTGGGCTCTTTGTTTTCGAATAGCAAGTTCCCTCTGCGGCTGCTCTTTGAAGGGTCTGTATAAGAAGGTGACTGGGAGAGATGGCCCGTTTAAGAGTGACCCCCACTGGGAGAACATGCTCAATGCCTCCACCCACAGGCTCCTGCCCAGGTTAGTCTGACACATAGGCATCTTTCCCGCAGGTCACAGGCGTCAGTGAGGATCAGTCTGTGTGCAGCACAGGACAACCAGGCAGGCTGAGGAACACCAGGGCCTTGCTGGCCCCTGAGGCCATCCTACAGTCAGACATGAGAAATGGTCAAACAAACGCTGAGCAAAACTGAGGAGAAAGGCTCCTGTTGGGGGCTTGTCCTCGCAGACAGCCAGGGTCTTGTTTATATTTTCCAGCTGGGACACTGAAAAATACAGGGCTCAGCCTCCAACTAAATGGGCTCCCTGGATTTGAGACACATCCCAAAGACCCTGTGGACTTCCCTCCCACTCCCCTTCTCTAGCTCTGGAGCAGTCCGCTACCTGATGAATGTCCCAGGGAAGGCCGGCCAGGATGTGCTCCTCGTTAGTTCACAGGACTGTGTGCTACTGGATGGGCAAGAGCTGACTCCCAGGTGGACCCTTGGTGCAGCCCAGGTCCTGAGGTATGGGGGTTTTGTCCCAGGGCCATGCAGTTGCTGCAGACTTTGCCGTGGCTCTACCTCTTCCCTTTCCCGGCATCCCAGCAGATTCCCCTGGCTGGTGAAGAGGATGAGGTATTGGGCCACGTGATTCTGCTGGAGGCCTCTCACCTGTCCTTGGTTTGGCCTCAACCCATAGAGTCCCCAGGGAAAGCGCGGTCATGTATGTCAGCTCCTGGTCCTGAGGCAGCCACTGAGGACTGAGTGGCATACCTGTCGCTAGGTATTTCCTTCATTTTAGTCTCCTTACAGAGACCTCTGTGAGCTCTTTTTCCCTAATCTCTTTCTAGAAAACCTATCCTTGGCCACTATAAACCAGACACCCCAGCTGTGGTCATTGAAAACGGAACTGGCATCAATAGACAGGTAGGCATATTTCCTCTGGAGGTGCCACCTTGCCTGTAACTGAGGACCATCTGTGAAAGCAGATATGGTGTGGCCCCGGGGGCTGCTGCCCTCAAAACTGGCAATAGGTTCTGGCCTTCCTCAGGGCTGGCATGCCAGGGGGTGTGCCTGTCCAGGCCCTGAGGTTGTCCTGATAACCACAGTGTTCCTTCCCTCCCCAGATCCTGCTTCTGGACCTCAGCAGTGGGGCCATCTTGTGGAGCCAGACCCTCCCGAGCTTCCCCGGGGCCCCGCCACCCAACAGCCTGCCAACTGCAGACCACCGCTCAGCCTTCTTCTTCTGGGGCCTCCACGAACTGATTGGCACCAACGAGACGGTATGGGGCACTCGGGGAACACCCTTGTGCCAGGACCCATGGCCAGAGATGCTAGGTTTGGATCCCTGGAATCCAAAGGGATTGATGTCGGAGCCACCACAAGCTCACTGAAGCCAAGTGAGCTGGTCCCAGCAGTAACACTGAGGGGAGAGTATCCTGTGGGGTCCTCTTGGGGACACATGAGAGGGATCCAGGAGCTCTGGTGGATTACAGTGGGGAGGGCAAGCACTGATGGACAGGGCTGGCAGGTGGGTATAGAGCTGGAGTTGGCAGTTTGTGAGACCCCAGGTGGAATCTGTGGACACAGAGCTCTAGGCGTGGTTGCTCTTAACACCAGCACCCATGGGTTGACCCAAGCATCATCAAGGATGATGACAGAGTTGTAGGCTGAGTGAGCTGTGGCTGCAGCCCCGGCACAGCAGAGTCCAAAACTCATTGCTGGTTCTCGCCCCAGGATCCCAGGGATGCCCGGCACAGTCTATACATGTTCCACCCTACCCTGCCCAGCGTCCTGCTGGAGCTGGCCAATGTCTCTGCCAACATCATCGCCTTTGATGGTGAGTACAGCTGGGCCATGATCTCCCCTCCCCTAGGTCCACTCTGGCTGGTCCTGAGAGACACCAATCATATGTCCCCCACAGTGGTCCTATTTGAGCCAAGCCGCCATGCTGCCTACATCCTCCTGACAGGCCCAGCAAGCTTGGACGTGCCTGGCCTGGTCTCCATGATCAAGCAAAAGGTGCGGGACCTTGTCCCAGACAGCAGAGTGGTCCACCTGGGTGAAGGCAGGCCAGACAGTGACCAGGCCATCAGAGGCAGGTTCTCCTGGCTGCGGTATCGGAGCGAGGTGTAGGCGGCGGCGGTGGGGACCCATGGAACGATGCCAACTGTAGAAATCAAACATTCTGGGATATCCACTCATCTCTCTGCCTCCACGCTGACCCTAGTGACAGTCTCCCCTGGGGAGGCATGGCTTTATGTGTCATCTCCAGGGATATGTGGGGAAACCCTGGACCTCCTGGCCAGGACACCACAGCCATCACATGGTCTTATCCTGTGTTCCATGGGGCTTTGTCTGGGCCATGCTGTCTCCCTGTGGTCTTGCTAGGTGGAGCTCAGCCCTGTGGAGCCCCTGCCACACCAGCTTCCCCCTGCCACACCAGCTTCCCCCTGCCAGAGAAGCCACTGCTATGGTCACGGGTGTCCCTTCCTCTTCTTCCTACCTGGTTCTGTCCTCTGCACCATCCTCCAGGAATCATGAATTCAGAGTGTGGTGGGCCCTGGTGGTACCTGAGGCTTCACAGCCTCAAGACCTTCCCAGAGCAGAGGGAACATCTCCCATGCAGGTTGAGGAACAGGGATTGGGAATGGGGTCTCCCTGACCAGTGGGCAGGGCCGACTGTAGAGTTCAGAGGTGCTCTCAGTACACACTGGAGCTGCTGACCCCAAGGAGGGCCCTGTGGCCCTGGCATGGTGAACACCCACCCCTACCCTAGTGCTGCTTACCTGATGCAGGAGGACTCACCTCTGTGCCTTCTGGCTCCTGAGTCCCAGGGGCAGTTGTGCTGCATGTGCAGCAGCCCTGCCCACACCAGAGCCCAAGCTTTGTGGCAATGCAGCCTGACTCTGTCACCACAGAAAACACCAGAATAAACATTTTTGCACTGTGTGGAAAAGCCCCAGTGGTTAAGTGTGAGCCTGCTTGCTGTCTACCTGCCTGCCTGTCCCTCTGCCCCCAGGGAAAAAACTACTATGGTAGTGACCAGGAATTTTCAGCAGGCTTTCATGTCAGGGTGGGAACTGAGAAGGCGAGTACTCCACACATATCTGTCCCTAGACATGGAACCCAACAGTCTTCTCACAGCCTCCAGGCAGTCTCCACTGTGAGGAGGTTGCACCTCAGGCCATGCCCTCAGCCCCTTAGAATGGGTCTCCCAGCTGGGACAGGCAGCCTGTGGTCTTAGTACCTCTGTGTCCTCTGTGCAGCCAAGGCCAGCACACAGCCATGATGGAGGGGTAGGGGTAACCTCTGGCTGCCATGGGGCAAAAGGGAGTGTGGAAGGGGCTTCTGGGAGATAGAGCTGGCACAAAACAATGCACAGCCTTTGGGAGAGCCCTACAGAAGTTTGCTGTCCGTGGAGTTTCCATGGGAACCAGGCCTTGAGGCTGCACAGGTTAGCCCTGTTCTTCCTCCTGCTTGGGAAGGCCTAGGGTAGGAACATAGGGGTTGAGGGTGAACAGGTGGGTGCCATGCCAGAAAGTGGATCATTTGGCCCTGAAAAAGTTAACCTACTCACAGGGCCCTGAGCACTGAGAGGCTGTAGGACAAGTTGAGAATGTGAAAACTTGGACCCTACCCTTCCACAGCGCAGGATGGAACCCATGAACCCACAGAGAAGCTGTACCAGGGACCCAGAGCCTGCTTGGCTGGGGGCCACCCTGCAGGTTACCTGGTGGGTCATGGGGAGAGGAAGCCTATTTTACAGGAGGTGAAAAGCTAGGCAGAGGTTTGCCTCCCTCCAGCAGTGGCCTTCGGCTCTAGACTGAAGCATAAATACCTATGTACCTGTGACCACTTGGTCCTGGAGACTGTCAGGCTAGGGCCTTACAGCAGGTTGGGCACAACTCCCCAGGCAATGCTGAACAATGCCAGGAGTCCCTTGCCAACCCCATGCCTCCTTGGCAGTGTCCTCACTCTTTGCTGGCCTCCTACATCCTGTTCACCTTGGCCTGCCTGAATAGACAGTGCCACTTCCTGCCCCAGAGACTGGGCTCCCCAAAGCTGCAGATGGAGTCCAGCCTGAAGCTCTGGAGCCTGATCCCTGGACCTCGACCCCACACCTGGGCCCTCCAGAGGCTGCCTTTTACACCTGAACTATGTTGACCTTCCTTCCCAGCCACTTCAGTGTCATACCACATCCTCATACCACATACATGTACATCCACAACATGCAAATATACCACCTGTATACGCTACAAACACTCACACCACCCACACAGGCATGAACTACACCCACTCATGAGCACATATGCCTGGACTCACAGCAGAATGGGCTCAGAGTGAAGGCCAAGAGTGTGTGCCAGAAGTAGATGGGGGAGGTTGTTTATTTCTGTGCCAGTTGCAGCCCTGTGGTTGAGGTGGACCCCAAAAGAAGCTGGCTTGTAACTTCATCTAGTTTAGAAGAACAAGGGACACACAGCAGGGATGCCAGTGCCCCCAGGAAACATTAGGTAGGAAGACAGGATTCTGGCTCCACTACCCTGGCAAAGACCCTCCCTGCAGGGACCAGGAGCTTCACAGTTAGGGCAACAAGGTACAGTCACCTATGCACAAATCTAGTGGGGAAGCTGCAGCTCAGATGGATGCTGGAAGGGTGTGTGTTGGGGGGTGCACAAGGAGGGAGAGCCTCCCAGGCACAGGCTGCTGAGTATGCAGCTGCCCCAAATGCCTCAGCAGGACCAGGGTCCCAGGGGTCATCGGGAGCTCTCCTGGACGGGGGAGGCTGCTCAGAGACCTGCATATCTCCATGGATAAGTGCTTGTGCCTTGGCCTCACTATCCTGCCAGCAATAGATCCTCTGGCCAAGTTCGGCCAATGAAACCCCCTCCCTGGGACTCAGCAACTGGGCCATTCACTTCCGAGAAGAGGCAGCCTCATTGGAGGGAAAAGGAGAAGCAGAGAGAGACTGGATTCTGGACACAAGAAGACACCAGTGCTGGGGCTCAGCAGCCATCAGGAGAGGGTGACCCTGCAGTCACACAGAATGTTGGCAACAGGGCCTGGGGGTGATAAGGTGAGTCCACCTAGTCCTCCCCCTTACCACCTGCAGCACTGCTGGTGGCTGGAGGTTCCCCAGAGGTGGGGAGAAGAGCCGGGCTGGGGCTTGAGTGTCGAGGCTTCCGCATAAACGAGAACACTCTGTAGGTGAGAAGGGGCTGAAGCAGGTGACTGGAGGGCCCTGTCCCCTCCCTGCAGAACCCACCACTTTGCAGGCACAGGGCACTGCTCGGGATCACCGTCTCTTTGTCTCCAGTGGGATCACAGCCTCTGCCAGCAAGCCCTTGTACATGTCAGACTTGAGGAACCTAGGGTAGGAGTCCTGTGAGAGATGCAAGAGACAATGTCTAACCCGTGGCCCCTTCTACTTCCTCTCGCCTCATCCAGGCCCATCCAAACACTGCTGAGAGCTACAAGGGCCCCAGGCAATCGGGTGCTAGCAGCGGCCAGACCAGACCAAGTCAGACCTACCCAGAAACCATTTCCTATCAGTGGGGCCACAGACTACCAGATGGGGCAGGACCCACGGTGCCCACACATGGAGCACAAGCCAGGATCCCCAAAGCAGGGGCAACAAGGAGCCGAGAAATCTGTGTGCTTCTACAGAGGGAGGGCAAGGGAGGGCAAGGATATATAGCCACACAGAAAGCAAGGTGGTGAGAAACCGCACTGTGCTAAGGGAAAGGAATCTACAGCCATCATTGCTCATGGATTTTTTTTTTTTGGTGCTGGGGATCAAACTCAGGACCTTGCATTTGTGAGGCAGGCAGCGGAACCACTGAGCTAAATCCCTGGCCCATTGTTCATGTTTTTTTTTTTTTTGGTGCCAGGGATCAAACTCGGGTCCTTGCGCTGGCGCAGCAGGTGGCAAAACCACTGAGCTAAATCCCCGGCAGCTCATGTTTTTTATTTTTTTTATTTTTTTTGGTACCGGGGATCAAACTTAGGTCCTTGTGCTTGCAAGGCAGGCAACAGAACCACTGAGCTAAATCCCCACCCCTAAAAGTTGTTTCACTGTTTGTTTTTTTTTTTGGTACCAGAGATCAAACTGGGGACCTTGCATTTGCGAGGCAGGCGCCAGAACCACTGAGCTAAATCCCCAGCCCATCTCATGTTTTAAAAGAAGAAGAATTTTGGCCGGGGATTTAGCTCAGTGGTTCCGCTGCCTGCCTTGAAACCACAAGGACCCGAGTTCGATCCCCGGTACCAAAAAAAAATAAAAGAAGAAGAATTTTAAATTAACTTAGTGAGAAGGGGGAATACAGTGGAAGGGCTGGGATATGAGCTAGATTTATTTACATGTGTTGTGCTCTATTGGATTTGGAAACTATAGAGTTTACATTTAAATAAGTAATTCCTAGACATTGAAAGGAAAGTGGAATAAGACCATGTCCAGGTGGTGTTGTAGCCCCAGCCACACCTCAGAGCTCTCAAGGGGAAGTCTCAAGTTCGATATATACAAGGAGTTGAAAAGACAGTTCTCAGTGATCACATTGTGTTGAGATTGCTGACAGGTTAGGAAAAGCATGGACAGAACCAGGACTTTCAGCTGGGTGTAAGGAGGTGGAGACACAGGGTCAAAGAGATTAAGAGAATCTTAACCTGAGTCAATTTAAGTACATATCAGTGTCCACTCGTAGTATCTTATTTAAATATGAATACTTTTTAGTTAAGTCTCCTGCAAGGCCTGGGAACAGTGGCACCCTGGTAATAGCAAGTGCCTCTGGTACACAGGTTAGGAGTTTCTAACTACCCGTAAGGGTCAGAGCTTCCTGTAGAGAGGCAGAGTCCAGATGTGGGCAGGACAAGCCTGGATAGGCCATCATCCCAGAAAGCAGGAGGCCAACAAAGACTGTAGAGATACATCAAATGTCCTTTTTTTTTTGTACCGGGGATTGAACTCGGGTCCTTGCACTTGTGCAGCAGGCAGCAAAACCACTGAGCTAAATCCCCGGCCCAGAGCCACATCAAATGTAACCATAGCTTAAGAGTAATAACAGAAGTCGGGGATTTAGCTCAGTGGTTCTGCTGCCTGCCTTGAAAGCGCAAGGACCAGAGTTCGATCCCCGGTAATAAAAAAAAAAAAAAAAAAGTAATAACAGAAGCCAGGCATGGTGCCACACCTGTAATCTCAGCACTTGGGAGGCTGAAGCAGGAGGATCTCTACAAGTTCAAGGCCAGCTGGGCTACATAGTGCATTCAAGGTCAGCCTGAACTACATAGCGAGACCTTGTTTCAAAAATTAAAAACAAAAAACATAAGAGTAACAACAAAAGGTGGGCACAGTGGCTTGCACCTATAGTGCTGCTACTTGGGAAGCTGAAGTAGGAGGATCACTTGAGCACAGGAGTTCAAGGCCAGCCTGGACAACACAGCAAGACCCCATCTCAAAAAGAAAAATAAAAAGATGAAGCCTGTAATCCCAGCTAGTTAGAAGGCTGAGGTAGGAATATGGCAAGTTCAAGGTCAGCCTGGGCTACATAGTGAGACCTTGTCTCAAAAAAGTAAATGAGGGGCTGGGGATTTAGCTCAGTGGTGCTGCAGCCTGCCTCCTGAGTTCAATCCCCTGGTACCAAAAAAAAGTAAATGAATAAACCAGGTGTGGTGGTTTATGCCTGTAATCCCAGCACTCCAGAGACTATGGCAGAAGGACTGCTTCGAGTTTGAGGCCAGCCTGAATCACAGTGAGACCCTGTCTTAAAAAGGAAAAAGAAAAAAGTGAACAAAAAGGGCTAGGGATGTAGCTCAGTGGCAGAGCACTTGCCTAGTATGCATGAGTCCCTGAGTTCAATCCCCAGTACTGGGAAAAAAAAAAAATCCAGACCCTACTGACCACCTTTAGCAGACACTAGGGGACTAACTCTTTTGTTTGTGTTTGTGTTTTGGTACCGGGGATCTCAAACTCAGGACCTTGCACTTGTGAGGCAGGCTCAGTGCCACTGAGCTAAATCCCCGGCCCATGTTTTTGTGTTTTGAAGCAGGGTTTCACTATGTAGTGCAGGCTGCCCTTGAACTCATTATGTAGCCCAGGCTGGCCTCAAACTTGTGGCAATCCTCCCACCCCAGCCTCCCAAATGCTGGGATTACAGGGGTGCACCACCACACCTAGCAAACTAACTCATTATTTTTAAAAGTAATAAAGGAAAAGTTGAAGCATTGACTCTGCTATGCCATGTGAAAATCAAAATGGACAAGGGCAGTGTGGCAGGACATGCTCCAGCTGACAGGAAGAAGGGTGGGACTGGGACACCCATGGCAGTGAGTCTAGGACAGTGAGTGCCACAGTCTGCAGAGGAGCACAGGAGACACACCCTCTGAAGTATTCTTGACAAAAACCAAATAGATAAAACACTGAGGATGACTCTGATGGGCTCTAACAGGGCCAGTGAGGCTGCGGAGCCCAACTTCTTCATGAGCATGTAGATGTGTAACTGTGCATCATCCAGCACATAGCAGTGGGACTGGGGCAACCCCTCCAAGGTCCGCTCCATTGTCCGGCTGTCAATGTTGACCCAGCAGGCAGCACTGGGGGCCAGGAACTGCCTGGGGTGGGAACAGCACAAGATGGGTCCAGGCTGGGGAGTCCTGCCCAATGGTCGGATGGCTGCCCAGTGCCCACCTGCCACTCACTGGTACACAGCATCCACCAGGTCAGGGACCTGGGCCTGCCCTCCAAAGCGCAGCTCCTCACACGCCTCCCAGAAGCTGAGATTTTCCACTGAGGACCAGCACCAAGTTATCGGCCCACCCTGAGCAGCAGCCAGCTGGGCATCTTGACAGGCTGGCAGGAGAGATCCTGAGCGAGACCAAGGGACCCTGCAAGGTGCCAGGAGCCCAGCACGGGACTCGGGGGCTTCTCACCACTGAACTCCTTCTGGAGGAAGTCCATGAAGTGGGCCCGGCCCACAGGGTCATCCAGAAGCTCCCGGAAGCTGAAGCCCCATCGTTCCACTCGAAGCTTTGTGGGTACTGCCACCCTGGAGGAACAATGGGGAACTTTCAATGCCACCTCTACTGCCAGCCTCAGACCAAAAGCACACCTCAGTCCCCCTGCACTCCAGGCTCACATGGGTGCATTCATGACCCAGTAGGTGTCGTCATCTGTGATCCAGGGGTTGCTGGGCAGGCACCCTGACATGATGTGGTCATGCGGGCTATGCTGGTTGCTGAACTTTAGGTACCTGGGGGCCAGGGCCAAAGCAGAGAGGGGCTTCAGAGATGAGGAGGCTTTAGAAAGGGCTGGGGGTTGGGGTCCCATGCCACCAACCCCCTAACTCACCCCTCAAGACAGATGGAGGATTTTACTCGGGTCCTGCCCAGTGCCTTCCTGGAGAACTCAATCTAGGGAGTCAGAGCTGTGAGTGGAGACCGGGGCTGGGGACAGATTGCCCAACACCCATCCCCAGAACCTACCTCCTGCTTATAGAAGTCTGAGCTCTGGACCCTGGAAAGGAACAATAGGGGCAGTTACAAGGCAGGTTTCCTTCAGGGATCAGAAATCCCATTTATGGGCCAGGGATTTAGCTCAGTGGTTCTGCCACCTGCCTTGCAGAAGGACCCAAGTTTGATCCCCGGTACCAAAAAAGAAAAAAGAAAAATCCCCTTTACTCAACCCCTGCTGGCTGAGCCCTGGCCCCAGGACAAGGCATGGAACAGCTTAGGCCTCCAGCCCCAACCCTCAGCCCCTTCCTCGTCTGTAACCCTAGGAGACTTTGGGTCCTTCCTTAGTCTGGAGAATTCCAGGAAGTTCTGCCAAACCCACAGGTTATCCAAGTTACCTTGAAGTTCCCCTATTATGACTAATCAGTAATAATTTCAGATATACATATGTATGTATTTATTTAGGGGATTGAGCACAAGGCCTTTGCACTGATCTACAGCCCCAGTTTATTTTTAAATTTTGAAACAAGTGCTCACAAAGTTGCTAAGTTTCCCAGGCAAGTGTAAGTTGCTCTTCTGCCTCAGCCTCCTAGAGCTCTGTGATTACAGGTGTATACCACCACACTCCTTTCAGATGTTTTTTTCTTTCTTTTTTTAAAACAACATGCATTAGTAGAAATCCTACTACTGGGATTACGCTGAGGAATCCTGGTTTAATTCAGAACCCCTTGGTCCCTCCAGGTGTGCCTCATGACTGGGCTGCAGTAGGCAAACCCAGGACTGGCTGACCTAGGCTCCTGATCCTCCACAACCAACACTGGGCATAGAGCTGGAGATAGAGGATACTTTTGATTTCCAATTTCTGTCCCAATTCTTTTTTTTCTGGTACCGGGGATGGAACTCGGGACCTTGCACTTGCAAGGCAGACGGCGGCACCACTGAGCTAAATCCCCAGCCCTCCAATTCTCTTTGATTGCCTTCATATATGAAAAAATTAGGGGACCTAAAGTTATCAAGAAGTGAGCTACAATAGGAATCTGTTCACATCTATCTGTACTGGTCCTGCTTCCTCTGGTTGGGAGGCCACCACAGGGAAGTGGCTGCAGTCCAGATCCCCCAGCATAGCCCTGCTTGTCACCCCTCTACCTCCCTGTGGACCAGATGCTGTCCTGGCCTGGAGGAAGAGCCCCCACCCTCTCCCAGGGCCACTCTACTTACATGCAGGGGGGGCAGCGGGTGGGAGAGAGAAAAAGGATGAGCGTTAGCAAGAGGCCTGGGGTAGGGGGCAATAGGGGCTGAGGTGAGAAGCAGAGAAGGGACTCTGGAGTGGCTTCATCAGGTCCATTTGGGTGGACTGGAGACGGGTGGATGGCAGCCCATGAAGTCCCACAGTGGTTATAGGTGAGGGCAGATGTGGACAAGCTGGAGGTGGGCAAGGGCTGGGGGTGATGCAAAAGCATTCACCATCTGCACTCGGCTGGCAGTGTAGGAGCTCCTCTCTGGACCCTGCTCTAGCACATTAGGAGCCCCAGGCTGCAGATGGAAGACCAGATGACAGGGCAGTAAGTTTCCTCCCTGGGGAACCCAATACTGAATCTCTTTACCCTTTGATGTGCCTTCAAAGAAACAGTTCTGGCCCCGAGCCTCCTCTGCTCACTCCCACCCACCAAATGGTGCCCCAGACAGTAGGATGACCTCAAGTCCCCTAGTGCCAGGTAAAACCCCTGAAGCCCCACAGCTGAGCCCAACCCCTATTTGCCTCCTCCAAACTTACTTACTTACTTACAAACTTACTTACTCCTCCTACTTAACCTCTACCCAAACTGGCTCCCCAGAAGGAAGCTAACTGGTCCTGTGGTCAGGGGTATAGGCAGCTTCATGGGTTCTCAACTAAGTCACAAAACTAAGACCTTCTATCACACACCAGGGCCCTAATCTACATGTCCTTTCTACGGGGTCAAATGAGAAGTTCTAGGAAGAGCTTTTCAGGGAACCTCACCACCCCACCCCACCAGGGGCTTACCGGGGGTCTGTTCACCAGCCAGTATGTGTGCTCCTGTCTTGCAGTGACCAACCTGTCCCCTTTCCTGCGCTGCTTAGCCGCCCTGGAGGAGAGGGCAAGGGTGGGTGACAGAGAGCTCACCACAGCCCCTCCCCCAGCTCAGGCCATGGCCTGCAGTGAGCCCTGATGTGCTGTCCACAACCCTAGGGTGCTGGGTGCCATGGGCCTTCCAGAGCTTCCTGGCTTAGTGCAGGGAGGGGGCTCACCGCAGCTGCTCTTGGGCCTGCATCACCACCAGGTCCCACATGTGGTTGATCTTCTTGTGCAGCTGGTCATAATGCTCCTGGGAACATGAGGTCTCCATGGGTGGCCCCCTCAGGTGTCCAACTCTGGAACAAGGACCCCTACCTCCCCAGTGAGATGGCAGGGTGTGAGTGGTATATGTGTGGATTACATGGAGCCTGGGCTTAATGCTCTGGGCACACTGTGGGGCTCCAGCTTTCTCTGGCCACAAAACCTGGGGGGTCCCACCTTCTCATGGTCCACCAGGGCCCCCTCGTTTCGGATGTTCTTCTTGGTCAGGTAGATGGCTGGAGGGGCAGAGAACAAGCTGCAGAGGGATAAGCTTTGCCCCTACCCAGTGATTACTACCCTAAGGCCACCAGACATGGGAGCCTGCCACAGGCTAGTCCAACACCCCACTCCCATAGTCCAGCTCTGCAGCTGGCCACAGGGTGCTGGTCCAGAAGTATGGTGTCTGGTGGGATGCAGGGAGAAGGCTGTCTGGGCCCTCCTGGACCTTCACTACCCCAGGTACCCCAAATAGGTACCACCCCACACATAGTTCCCTCCAAGAAGATTGGAATGGCAGGGGGTGTCCGCCTCCCTCAGCTCAGCTGACCACTGCCCATTCTCTCCACCTGAAACTGAGGTCAACTGACACCCTTGGAGCCCTTAGACTGCCTCCTTTCAGGGTGAGGTTGGGGGGAGCCTGGCCAAGCCTAAGATGTCGGAGCTTGGGGTGGCCTGGGCCTGTGATGTGCTCAAGAAGGGCAGGAGTGTGTATGGGGGTGTTCTATTACGTTTGAGTACACAAGTTTCGGTGCCAGGATCCTGTCCTCACGCCCAGCGAGACAGCCTCTTCTTCAGGGCTGGGGGACTGAGGACCACCAGGAGGCTGCACCTTCCTTGTAGATACTGCTTTTTATGGGGGTCCTGGTGTGCCCCCAGAAAACTGAAGCTCCCTCCCCTCAAATTAGTCCTTCTAGCCCAGGACTTGTGCGGAGGGGGCAGCCCGAGTCGGATCTACCCAGAAAGCTCCGCCCGCCCGTCCAAGTCTCACCGGCTGCCTGGGAGGGGGAGGGGGAGGGGGAAGGTCCCGACCCCCACAGGGTCTGACCTGGAACCTGTAGGGCGTCTCGTCGGGCCTGAGCCCTAGGCTGTGGGGCCCTCGCAGCGGGTATATGTAGCCGTGCTGCGCCAGGAGGTCGCCCAGATGCAGGGCCTCTGCGGGTGGGGGAGGTGAGTGCTTGGCCAGGTCAAGGTCGTCCGTCCCCCATCCTCCCCCAGCTCCAGGGCCGGCCACCCCTCACCCTCCTCCGAGACGCAGAACTTCTGAGCCAGCCACTCTACGATGTCGCTGCCTGCGCGGGAGAAGCTGTGTCCGGGTGGGCAGAGACTGCCGCACCCCCGCCCGGGCCTACCGTGCCTCACCGGTCACCGCGTGGGGAATGACGGTGATCAGCAGGCGCTGGCTCCGAATCCGCACGCCCTGGTCCGGGTCCTGCATGCTCACGACCACCCGCTCCATCTGGGCGGAGGCGGCCGTCAGGGGCCGCTGGGCCATCGCCCCAGACCTGGGATCTCAAGATCCGCACAGGTTGGGGCAGGAGGGCGAGGCCGGGCCCCAGGGCGGTCCCCAAGGTCACAGCCCCTCTCCTCCTCCCCAGGCCCCCTCGGGTGCCCGCAGGCATGAGGAAACCCCTCCCACCTTGGTGAGGCGCAGTATCTGAGCTCTCGGGCGCCCTCCTGGAGTCCCGGGACCCGCGGTAGTGGCCATGGCGCCGACGTCCGAGCGGTCCCGCCCCGCGCCCCGCCCCGCGGCTCCTTAACCCTCCAGGCAGCAGGGGCCTAGCTGGCCAAGCGACCGGTCACCATGAGAATGACTGGGGTGCTGAGGCAGGCAGGACCCGGTCTGGACAGCGTGGGGCGCGAGGGAATAATTCCGAGACGGTGGGCCACTGGGAGGGGCCTGGGCAGGAGCGGGCTCCGAAGGGGTCCTCGTGGGCAACAGGGTTTAGGGCCCAGGGTACCAGTGTGTGGGGCCTGAAGGACATGCAGGGATGTCAGTGGTTGGGACTGTGGGATTCCAGGAGTGTGTCCCTGTGAATATATGGTGCCAGAAATGGCTTGTGCACGCCACAGGCTGGTGTGATGCTGGTAGGTACCCCACACCTCGGTGCTACAAGTGCTCAGTGTTGTGTCAGCCCTGCTGTGATCTGAGGTTGCCTGGAGTGTGACACTGGGTGATTCGGGGTATCCCCCATCTCCTGCTATGGGTCCCTGCAGAAGTCTCAGAGGCTGAGGAGAGAGTGGCTCATGTCCCCTCCATTGCACAGGGTCCAGTGGGCCAGTTGGAGATCAGACTGAGATCCTTGCCAGGTTGCCCAAGGACTGTGAGAGGGGGCTTTTATCTCAACTCTTCCCACCCAGATTCTCCAGCAGCCTCTTGGCTCAGGGGCCCTATTCTAGGCTTTTTTGCTCCCTCTTCCACCAGCTCCCCGCACCTCAGACCCCCTGAGCTGTGCCCAGGCCATTCAGGGGCCACTGGGGAGGGTCACTGATCCATTTATATGATGTATGTGTGGGGTACCAGGGATCAAACTCAGGACCTTGCACTTGCGAGGCAGGTGCCGGAACCACTGAGCTAAATCCCCAGCCCTATAAGATGTATGAATGGGTCTATGTCTCCTCCTGTTTCCCATTCTGGGGTGCTGGGCACCAAGCAGAGAGGGTTGCCCTTGGGCCAGAAGCCTCCAAACATGGCTGTTGTATTTCATTCCTGTTACTGGCCAAGTCCAGGATGAGGTGGGGCAGTGGGATTGGGAACTGGAGGGGGCTCTTGCCCTAGGCAAGGTCACATCACCCTTAGGTCCCAGGTCACCTGCCCCCCCCCCCGGGCAGCGTTAGGCTGGCCGAAGGGGTCTGGCTTTCCTCTCTGGATGAGTGGGGACAATGGCCTCGGTAACATCTCCATGGGCAGCAGGGGTGGATCTCTAGGGCGGCCTGGGCTCCCTTGCAGGATCCTGCTTTGGAAAGAATGTGGGCAGGTAAGGCTCCTACTTCAAGTGCCCCACACCCCAGCACCAGTACTGGCTTCCTGCTCAGACAGAGGGACTCTTTGGACAAGGTGTGTCTGGCCCCTAGGTGGCCCCAAAAATGGGGATGGGGGCAGGAGTGTCTAAGAAAGAGGCTCAGGCTGCTCTGAGGCCACCTCCCTTACTCAGACCCAGGCCTTTGGTCAGACCCCCAGCCAAGGGCACTATTCAACCCTGTCCCGTGTCTTAACTGACACCCTCTTCCATCCCACCCAACTCCGAGTCTCTGTGTGTGTTAAGACCAAGAAGTCTCAGGGCCAGGGGTTTAGCTCAATGGTTTCGTCACCTGCTATGCAAGCGCAAGGACCCGAGTTCAATCCCCAGTACCAAAAAAAAAAAAAGTCTCCCCACTTCAGTTTTCTTCAGTGTCCTTCTCTCCCCAAGGGGGTGGGGGGCGCTTGGGAATTGTTTGGGTTCCTGGCCTCTGCAGACAGCACCCCACCCCACCCCAGGGCCATCAGTAAGCACTGAGGGATCCTTGTGTGAATGCGCAGGTGAGCCCTCAGCCCACAGTGTTCCCTCGATGTCGATGACGGAACCCCGCCCAAGGCTGTCCCCAGGAGTCCCCTCTGCCCAAGCAGCCTGAGCGAGGCAGAGAGCTGCTGGAGCCCAGATGACGGAACCCCGCCCAAGGCTGTCCCCAGGAGTCCCCTCTGCCCAAGCAGCCTGAGCGAGGCAGAGAGCTGCTGGAGCCCAGATGTGGCCTGCGCTGCCCGCTAATAATGAGAGCCCGGGGACGCAGGGAGAGAGCCGCACCTGCTCCACTTCGCGCTTCGGCCCCAACGACCCGCCCGGAGGCTCCCGGGACCCAGCTTGCGCGGGCGCTGAGGGGCGGGGCGGGGCGGGAAGGCCGGGTGCTGGCGCCGTGCGGGCGACACGCGCGTCTCTGCGGGCTGCGCGGGGTCCGCGGAGCGGCTGGGGGCGCGCGGCGCGGGCGGGGCGCTGGGCGCGGGGGGCGCTCCCGGCCGGGATGAGCTCACCGCAGTCGCGCCGGGGCTGAGCCGAGCCGGGTGGCGGCTCCGCGGCGGCCCACGGCCACCATGCTGGGCCTGGACGCGTGCGAGCTGGGGGCGCAGCTGCTGGAGCTGCTCCGGCTGGCGCTGTGCGCCCGAGGTGAGCGGCGGGCGTCGGCCACGTGGGCGGGGGCTGCGGGGGGGCGCGGGCGGGGCGGCCCTCCCCCGCTGCAACTTAGGGGGCGCGTGGGGCCCTCTAGGAAAGGATCCCAGCTGGCTCTGGCTGGGGTGGGGTCTTCGTTCTGGTGCGACCCTTACGGGAAAGGCAGCCAAGAGTGGAGGAGCACGCTGTGCTGGGTGAAGCTAGGGATGCAGGGGCCTCTGCTCCAGGTGGGGAGATCAGTCCCTGAGGCTGGAGGGCTGTGGACACGGAGCAGAGCCTGGTGGCTCGTGGAAGGGGTCTGGGACAACCACTATATAGCCGTAGCCCCCAGTCCTTGTGCAGTCCCCCGCTAAGAGTCTTCATCCCTGCACCTTTGGCCTCAGAGTCAGGGAGGAGCCCTGGGTGGACAGCTGGTTCCTCCAAGGATGCCACTTGGGTGGGTCTGTTGGAACTGCTGCCAGCTGCCAGGCCCCTCCAGAAGAGGTCCTCCTGCTTTCCCTTCCCACCCTCTTCCTCAGCCCCACTGGCTTCTTTTTAGTTCCTTTGAGCAGTGGTAGGCACAACTGGGGAGATGGAGGGGTCTCCAGTTGACACTGGAATGCCACACTCTGCTGGTGACAACTGCTCATGGACCTTTCCCAACTGCCAGTCCTCCTGGCTGACAAGGAGGGTGGGCCAGCGCCAATGGACGAGGCCCTGGATGAGGCTGTGCCTGAGTATCAGGCACCAGGGAAGAGGAGCATGCTGGAGATACAGCGGCTGGACCCAGAGGATGAAAGCCTGGCCAAGTACAAGCAGGCGCTGCTGGGGCCCCTGCCATCTCTCATGGGTATGGGCTGGGCCTGGGCCTGGGTCTGGGCCTGGGCCTAGAGGGCAGTGAGCAGGTGGAGGGAAGGGGCAGGCTGGGCAGACCAGGCAGGACATCCCGTGGACACTGTTTCTCCTTAGACCCAAGCCTGCCCAACGTGCAGGTGACCAGGCTGACTCTGATGTCGGAGCAGGCTCCAGGGCCCATCACCATGGACCTCACAGGTAGCTCTCCTCTGCAGCCCGCAGCCCATTTTTGGAGTGGAAACCTCTTAGGACCCCTCTACCCATGGACCTCATAGGCCCCCTCCCCATGTAGGGGCTGCTGGGCAGGGTCTCAGCTCATCCAGAATTCAGATTCTACCTGCTGTTTCCCTACCAGGGGATCTGGCTGCACTGAAAAGCCAGGTATTTGTCCTGAAGGAGGGTGTTGACTACCAAGTGAAAGTTACTTTCAAGGTATGGGCAGCTGCAGTGGTGGTGGGGGTGGCAGCCAGCCATGGCTACTACCCCAGAGGAGCCCCTTAACACCCTCCATTCCCCAGGTCAACAAGGAGATTGTCAGTGGTCTCAAGTGTCTGCACCATACCTACCGAGGGGGCTTGCGTGGTGAGGGCAGTGTGGAGGGCAGCCGGGGGGGGGGGTGGCAGGCAGAGGGCAGCCCCTGACACCCTCCCCTCCCCCAGTGGACAAGGCCGTCTACATGGTGGGCAGTTATGGCCCCAGAGCCCAGGAGTACGAGTTTGTGACGCCGGTGGAAGAGGCACCAAGGGGCATGCTGGTGCGGGGCCCCTATGTCGTCAGGTCCCTCTTCACTGATGACGACAGGACCAACCACCTGTCCTGGGAGTGGGGCCTCCACATCTGCCAGGACTGGAAGGACTGACCCCCAATTGGGGCTCTTGTCCCCAACTGTCAGCTGCTGCACAGGGCCCCACGCATTCCCCAGCCCCTTGGTCAGTGACCCAAGTGCCCCCATCTGGCTCTGTGCCCTGACTCCCATTAAAGGTTGCCCTGCCTTGCTGCCCTCCGTGTGGCCTTTTTCTGCCTCTTCCTCCCTCCAGAGGGTGCCTTTCAGCTTTATCTTCCCTGAGAGGGGCCAGGGTGCTACGTGGCAGTTACTGCTTGGTCCCTGTTCCCTTTATCTCCCCTAGCCTTCGGGGCCTCGGCACTGCCATGAACAGCCGGCTCCTGTCTGTGTTGTTGCTGCTCCTGCTGGGGGTCTTAGGCCCATGGGGACAGGGACAGGATCCACCGGGTCCCTTGGAGGACCTCCCAGAGGAGCCCCCTGGGGAGAAAGTTCCCAAAGAGGAAGGGGTTTTGGTGCTGAATGGCAGCACCCTGAACCGGGCACTGCAGGAACATCCGGCCCTGCTGGTGGAGTTCTGTGAGTGTCGGGGCATGGGTTCTGGGGACCACAGGGGGTGCTGGGGACCACAGGGACTTCTGGGGCTTGAGCCCCATACTACTCTCCGTCCTGCATCCTAGGCTCTCCACAAGGGCCCTGAGACAGGAAGCCTTGGGCAGAGCTGGACCGGGGGGGGCCAAGTCTAGGCAGGGGTGGTAGTCATGTAGGGTGTCCCAGGGGACGAGAAAACCAATGCCCCCCCCCCCCCCCCGCTTAGCCAGCTGTGGCTGTACGCTGATGTCATTATCTTGGGGGAAACATCTCCATGCTTCTGGTGGTATGGTTTTGCTGCACACTGTGCAAAGGCACAGGGTCCAGGCTGTGTGGCCATGTAGGTTCTTGGGGGTATGTGACTTCTTGTTTTTGTTTTGTTTTTTCAGTACAGGGGATTGAACTCAGGACCTACACACTGAGCTATGTTCCTAACCCTTTTTTATTTTGAGACTTAAGTGGCTAAATTGCCCAGATTGGACTCTTACTTGCAATCCTTTTGCGTCAGCTTCTCAGTGTTGGGATTACAGGTGTGCACACCACACCTGGCTCTCTGGCACTTGTTTTTATAATAATTTATGAATGTCAAAAGCTGTTTCTGGCTGGCAGGCCTTACAGGTAGCCATATGTGGCCCAGGAGGCTCCTCAGACTCCCAAACCTTCTGTCCCTTGTGCTCTGAGTTGGGGCCTTAAGAGTTTCCTGTTCTGGTGCCTAGGCTGAGTTGTGGCCAAGACTCAGGGTGGCACCTGAAGGAAGATGTGAGCAGGACAGGCTTGCTCGTCACTGGACCTGTGGGGAAGGACTGCGGCTGGGGCCCTTGAGGCCTGGTGCACTCATGGCCTCATCCTCCAGATGCCCCATGGTGTGGACACTGCCAGGCGCTGGCTCCTGAGTACAGCAAAGCAGCCACTCTGCTGGCAGCCGAGTCAGCCCCAGTTACACTGGCCAAGGTGGATGGGCCAGCAGAGCTGGAGCTGATGAAGGAATTTGGTGTGACAGAGTACCCCACACTCAAGTTCTTCCGCGACGGGAACCACACACACTCTGAGGAGTACACAGGTGTGGGTGGGCCTGGTGCAGCCTGGGTTGGGGCATGGTGGTGAGGGATTGGACCTAGGCTGAGGGGACTCTCCACAGGACCCCGGGAAGCTGAGAGCATTGCTGAGTGGCTGAGGCGGCGGGTGGGGCCCAGTGCCACACACCTCAAGGATGAGGAGAGTACCCAGGAACTGATAGATGCTCAGGATGTAGTGGTCATAGGCTTCTTCCAGGTAAGCTGGGGTGTGGGGGCTGGGCCTTGGAGCAGTACTGGTGGTACCCACCCACCTCACAGGGCCTGGCCTACAGGACCTTCAGGATGAGGATGTGGCTACCTTTCTGGCCTTGGCCCGGGATGCCTTAGACATGACCTTTGGCCTCACTGACCAACCACAGCTTTTTCAGAAGTTTGGCCTCACCAAGGATACAGTGGTCCTCTTCAAGAAGGTGGGTCAATAGGGTCAGGGATTTAGCTCATTGGTTCTGACATCTGCTTCACAAGTGCAAGGACTTGAGTTTGAACCCTGGTACCAAAAAAAAAGGTGGGTCAAGACTGAGGTGGGGGCTGGGGTCAGGGCCTTGGCTCTTGCTGACGCTCCCAGCATCCAGTTTGATGAAGGGCGGGCTGACTTCCCAGTGGATGAGGAGATCGGCTTGGACCTGGGGAATCTGTCCCGCTTCCTGGTCACACACAGCATGCAACTGGTCACAGAGTTCAACCAGAAGGTAAGTTTAGCTGCAGGTACAGGTGGGGTCCGTGGGAAGGGTCCATGGGAGCTCCTGCAGAGGTGGTGGGTAGGTCTTGGAAGTCACAAGCCCCCACCCTGCAGACATCCCCGAAGATCTATGCTGCCCGCATACTCAACCACCTGCTGCTGTTTGTGAATCAGACAATGGCCCCACACCGGCTGCTGCTAGCTAGCTTCAGGGAGGCGGCTCCCCCTTTCCGGGGGCAGGTACTGGGGGATCAGGAGGGAGGGGCCACTGGGAAGCGGGCCAGACAGCATGGACTCCCTGCTGGCAGGTTCTTTTTGTGGTGGTGGATGTAGCTGTCAACAATGACCACGTGCTGCAGTACTTTGGTCTCAAGGCTGAGGAGGCCCCCACCATGCGCTTGATCAACATTGAGACCACCAGGAAGTATGCACCCACAGATGGGGGGCCTATCTCTTCAGCTTCTGTGGCTGCCTTCTGCCACTCGGTCTTCAGTGGTGAGGTCAAGGTCTGCTGCTTGGTGGTCTACCCAGGGGCAGGGCAGGGAGGGGTGTAGCACCCTAGGAGCCTAACCCTGCAGAACCCCTTGTGAAGCCCTGCCTTCCCCCAGCCCTACCTGCTGAGCCAGGAGGTTCCCCCTGACTGGGACCAGCGGCCTGTTAAGATTCTTGTGAGCAAGAATTTTGAGCAGGTGGCTTTTGATGAAACAAAGAATGTGTTTGTGAAGTTCTGTGAGTTCGGGGGGCAGGGGGCAGTGGGTGGGGGCAGGGAGGAGGTGGCTGGGCAAGCCTGACACCCTCCTAGATGCCCCTTGGTGCAGCCATTGCAAGGAGATGGCCCCAGCCTGGCAGGCACTGGCTGAGAAGTACAGGGACCACGAGGACATCGTCATTGCAGAGCTGGATGCCACAGCCAATGAGCTGGAGGCCTTTGCAGTACACGGCTTTCCTACCCTCAAGTACTTCCCGGCAGGGCCAGGTCGGAAGGTGAGACCCACCCAGGGACCCCTACTGGGGACTCTGGTCAGGCTCTGGCCTGGGGATTGCTGAGCCCACCAGGCCCTCCTGTTCCCCCTCAGGTGATTGAATACAAAAGTGCCAGGGATCTAGAGACTTTCTCCAAATTTCTGGACACTGGAGGCGAGCTGCCTGTGGAAGAGTCCACAGAGAAGCCTGAGACTCCCTTCTTGGTGGGTGCTCAGGACATGTCCTCAGGCAGGGTGATCTGGGACAGAGCCCAAGGCTGAGCCTCTGACGTTTCTAGGAGCCACCAGCCAATTCCACCCTGGGTCCCAAGGAGGAGCTCTAGCTGCCCTGGAGCATCTGCCTGGAGTGTCTCGGGGTACTGGAGGGAGCTGTGTGCTGTGAATAAAGAACAGTTGGTCCTAAACTCTGTGTGGTTCCTGAGCAAGGCTGAACCCTGGCCCTGTCTCAGCCACCTGGGGCTGTTCCCTCTTGGATGCCTTTCCCACCAGCTGAGCTACTGGCTGGAGTCTGGCACCCAGGTAGGCAGGAAGGAGGCCATGGAAGTGCAACTGTGACTGACCTCTCTGATGGCCACTGCCCACAGGATGGCCCCCTCAACAGTGTGACCTCCTGGCACACCCACCGGCCAGGCCCCACTGGCTGCAGACAGGTGCATTCCATAGCCTAGGCAAGTTCAAAAACTGTTTTATTTCTTGTTATCCAAGTACCTTTGAAAAGATAATTGTACAAGTCATGGCATGAAAATGGTCTTCGGGCAGCCCCCTTTTGGCCCTGGCCTGAGAAATGTACATATTTACATGGGCCCTTAGAAAGCAGGGACCTGGCCCGGTGAGCTGGCAGCTGGAAACAGGTGAAGGAGGGGCCGAGGCTTCATGGCCACCGGCTTCACATAGTGGCAGGCAAGAGACGAGCTGTGTTGAAGGCACTCGGTGACATGTACAATTTACAGAGGTCCCTGCAGGGCCCCCCTGTACCTGGGCCTGGGCCTGACTGGGTACAGTGGGTAAGTACCACAGCATGTGAATCCCACAGCATGCGAGGCCCACAGTAGGGGCTGAGGCTGACTGCCCTGCTCCAAGGACTCCAAGTATTGCTATAGGGTGGGTGGGACCAGCAAAAGGATCCACCCACCCAGACACAGGCAGATGAGGGCACACCTGAGCCTTCCCAGGATCCATGTGACCACGCACAGTATGAGGAGCTGCGCAGCACTATGCCACTCCCACATAGCAGGCTCCTGGGTACAGGTTTGTTGCTGGGCTGACACTGCTGTGTGCTGCAACGTGTCCTGGGTGTGGCCACCTGCTGGTCAGTCCACCTTCTCCACCTTGCCGATGATCTTCTCCTCAAAAACAGGCAGCACAGACTCATCTTCTCTCACTTCCTCAAACACCACTCCACAGTCAAATTCATCACTCACTTTCTTGAAGTAGTATCTGGGGACAGAGGAGAGCCACAGAGGGTCAGGCAATGAGGACAGCCAGCCTGTTCCCTGTGCTCAGGGAGGGACACCTGTTTATGTCTGGGGCCACCACCCAATGTATGCGTGCTTTTCCCAGGGTCAGGTGCTCAGCCTTACCTAGTGCCTGTTTGCTGGACCCACCTTGGGGCTGTGACCATAGCTCACCAGGAAGTGCCTCAAAACCCCTGGAAGGGGCATGGTGGTGCACACCTGTAGTCCCAACTCAGGAGGGAGGCTGATGCAGGAGGATCACTGAGTTGAGGCTAGCCTGGGCTACATAGTGAACTCAAGGGCAGCCTGAACTATACAGCAAGACCCTGTCACAAAAAACCCTGGGAGTTCTGCCCTGGATTCTAGGGTGCTGCAGGAGAGGAGTGGCAGCTACATGTGTGTCCCCATTCAGCCAGTGTAGTCACAGGGCATTGTCACAGCCACTCAGGACATTTGCCATGGGCTGGGCTGACCTCAGCAGTCTTGGTCCTATTCAGACCATCTGCCTTCTGCCTCTCCTCAAAGCTCTAGCTGCAGTGGGGAAGGCTAGGTGCCTGCTGTCAGGTCAAGCCAGCACGCACATGGACCCACCTGTTTAGGCCTCAAGTTTTCCAACTTTTATTTATTTTTTATTTTTTGCTACCGGGGATCAAACTCGGGACCTTGCGCTTGCGAGGCAGGCGGCGGAACCACTGAGCTAAATCCCTGGCCCCAATTTCCCAACTTTTAAAATGGGGGCCCTGACACCTCCCACTCCCCACCTGCCCAACATGGAGAAGTGTCCAGATCCACATAAAGACTAACAGGGCAAGAAATGGTCCTGTCACACGGCCAGCACAGGTACTTCCCGGCCCCCTTCTCACCTATAGCTGCCCTTCTTGGTCAGCAGCTCCTTGAACTGGCCCAGGGTGACTGCTCGGCCTCTCACCAGGGTCCGGTAGGGGATGGGCTCCCCACAGAAGTAGTAGGCCACTACAATGCTGTCACATGGCTGGGCACTGCCAACACCCATCTTCTTCTGTGATTTCATCCTGTTCAGAGATAGCAGTGATGGGGAGGGGGGTTAGGCCCAGATCTCAAGGGAGCCCTCCCAGACCTCAGGGTTCCCAGAGAGGACAGCGCACCCCAGGGTGACACTTGTCATGGCAAGACCAGAGGTCCAGCCAAGCATGGTGACACACGCCTGTAATCCCAGCACTTGGTAGGCTGAGGCAGGAGGATACTTACAAGTTCGAGGCCAGCCTGGGTTACAGAGTAAGTTCAAGGACACCCTGAACTACATAAAGACCTTGTCTCAAAAAAAAAAGACTAGAGGTCTACAGGCCCCACTGTGCCAGCTCTGTGCCACATGGTTGTCTGGCTCCCTGGGACACAAACCTCAGGAGCCCCAGGTCTGGCTGGTCAGTGGCACTCCCCACCCGATTGTGTGAAGTGGGGATACAGCTTCTCAGCACATCAGGCCAAGCTGCTGACCCACACAGCCCCATCTCCACAGAGGCAAGGTGGTCCATCTGCCCACACCCTACTAAGATTGAGACCTAATCCTTTTAAGACATGTGAAAGGCAGGCACCGGAGAACCAGGACTGTGCACAGGTCTCTGAATGAACTGCCCACAGGCCACAGTCAGCCAGACACCCAGAGCTGAGTGAGGCCGACGCTGCCTCATGCCCAGGCCGAGGGACCCTGTCCTGATGGGCTGCATGGCCTCTTAATGTCAGGTGACTGGCAGTGTCCTCCTGTACTCCATGTCCTCCAGCCACCCCACCCCAGAAGCCACCCCAGGAACCAGGCTCCCCACCAGCTGGGTATGATAAAAGCTTTCAAAATCAGCCTCAGGGCAGGAAAGCTACATAGGGGGTTCCTCTCCTGTGGCCCAGGCCATGAGCCACCAGCAGTGTCTGTCCACTTTGCACACCTGGCTCCCAGGCACCGGCTTCCTGGCACTTTCCCCCAGCACTGCATCCTCAGAGCCCACCTTCCCTCAGGACCCTCTTCTGCATGGAGCTGGGGGCCAACTGAGGAGTGCCCCATGCATCCTGCTCATTGCTGAAGCACAGGAAGGGAGCAGTCAGCAAAGTCCACACCATCCACATGTGGCCATGGCAGGTGGAGGTGGTGGCCTCACCCTTGGCCCTGAACAGTCAAAACATCCAGACACCATGGCAAGTGAGCTGTGCCTCAAGCTCCCTGGTTCCTCTGCAAGGGCATCACAGCTGCAGCCCACACCGTATTCAGGACTGACATGGGCCCGTGAATCCTGGACTGGCAACCTGAAGAGGCCAGAGGCAAAATGAGGGGCAGGCTGTGATCCCGTGCAGACACTGGCCGGCCCTCTATCACCACTCCAGATAGCCCTTGTTCCTTGTGCAGACAGGAGGGAAGACTCAGGTGTCCGAGCTTATGTTTCACAAGAGTTGCTCCACCTCAAGACCTGGCTTGGGCCAGGCTGGGCAGGCAGCACTGAGGGACCCTCAGGTGCACGTACTCTGTCTCGGAGAGCTCCAAGTCCGACACGGCTGGCACCACGCTCAGCATTGGCGTGCACGCTGGCCTGACACAGGCACGTCCCCGCTGCATGACCGCCTGCACGTACCTAGGGGACAACCTGCGTCAACGGGGAGAGGCCACGGCCAGTGCACTGCAGGACCTCCCACCGAGTGCTCCCCTGTGAGGTAGATAAAGACACCAAATCCCTGCCAGGTCTTGGTTGGGGTGACTCCATTTGGTTCAGGGTACCCACACTCGTTATCTGGGTTCCTTGGAACTCATTTTGAGGAATTGGTGAGCTAGGTGCTAGAAGGTGCCACCTCTAGGTTGGGTGACCTCTTCACCTTGCAGAGGGCCTCTTGGAGAACATGTGTCTTCATCCCCTCACTAAGGTGTGGTTCATCCTACTCAGCTCTCAGGCATGAACTTGCTGAGGACAACATGGGACACCAGCTCTGGAGAGTGCGGCAACAGCTCCATCTGCATCCTGTGACCCCATGCCACAACACAGGCCTGTCCTGAGGTCACTGCACAGCAGTGCCTTTCCACATAGACCCCATATTAGGGCACGCCACTGGGGATCCAGCACCCTGCCTGCCTGGAGGCCTTTGCTTCATGAATCTGCAGCTGTTCCTCAGTTCAAAAGCCTCAGTTCCTCAGATGGGAAAATAACCCAGTCACTCCAGGTTCTCCACACAGATGTGCTGGAGCCACCCACTGAGACCTCAGCAGAGAACAGTACCCCGAAACGCACAGCATGGAGCAGGTTTCATGCCTCAGCACAGAATGAAACAGCACCTGCCCATAGGGGCCATAGGGGTCCAACAGGAAGGGCATATGCAAGCCCTGCCCGCAGGGCACCCTGCCCTGCCACTGCAGACCTTGCCCTTCCCCCCCAGTCCCACAACAAGGCCCCACTCCAGTGCTCTGGGCCCCACTAGATCACAGGCTCCTGCCAAATATGTGCAGCTTCTTACACAGAGACAGGACAAGAGCATGGGTAAGACAGCTGGTGGCAAAGAAGTCATCCCTTAGATTCCAGTTAACTATAACCCCTTCTGGCCCCAACCCCTGTGCAGATTGAGCCTGTGTGGTTCATGATGACCTTCACCAGCTGGGGACACATGCAGACCTTTGTTGAGCACAGGGAGGTCCCGCATGCTGACACCAGCACAGCTGACCAGGACCACATAGCCCGGTAGACCCCGAGAAGTGGGTCAGATTCCAGACCTCAGATGACCCAAGATGGCTGAGACCAGTCAGCAACTTTGAAGGGAAACAGTGGATGCCATGTGACCATGCTCCCAGGGCCTTAGATCCACTTGGGAATTCCAATGAGCCAGAAAATCCAGGAGACTGACCTCAAGGCTCAGACAACAGGGTAAGAAGCCACATTCTGGTCTGGATAGAAAATGCTGCCACCTGGAAAAGGTCTGCCAGTGGCCCAGGCAGTACATGCTCC